ATGACTTCATTGAGTTTCATCACTCTGAAGCCGTCCATGCTGTAATGTATACACATATAATGTAACAACATATGTATGTGATTCCGCTCGGCGGACAATCTGGATGCAGAAATTAATTTGTTCAACCAAGGTCGCCTTCCTTACCTGGCTTGTAGAGCACATATGGGATCGATCTCGGTAATGTATACGATGCAACCTAAACCCTTGAGAGCTTGGCAACATCCCTTCCCAACCTCTCCGTAACCGCATATCACAACTTGTTTGCCGCCAAACATAATGTCTGTAGATCTTTTCAAACTGTAAGTAATAAATTTTCGATAAGAACTGAAAAGTAATAAGCGTCGCATTCAAAATAAACAAGTTCCAGATGGTTTTCTCGAAACGACTTATATAACTCACCTATCAATGATGCTCTCGCGGCAGCTGTAGAGACTATCGAATTTCGTTTTGGTCACACTGTCATTCACATTCATCGCGGGGACAGACAATTTACCTGCCTTTGACAATTGATATAATCTATGTACACCTGTTACGCTCTCTTCGACAATTCCTACAAGAACATATTCTCTCACCATTTTATCTTTTATCCATTTATAAATAAAATGTCACATCGTCATATTTTTCAGTTTCCTCAAAAATGTCAATTTTTATTTTCCTATTGATATTGATAAGATTATTATATTACTGAATTATTTTTTATAACTAAGAATTTTTCCTATGTGAAACTATGATAAGTTGTAACATTACAACAAACATAATAGAACGGGATAAACCTTGAATCATTTTGAACATAGCGTTGTATTTCTTGAGCATCAAGTGGGTGGCGTCACCGCCGTCGTCCAGTATCATGTTAGGCTGCCAATTCTCGGCCGCTACGCATTTATCGATGCACCACCAGAAATCCTCCTCGGTTTCGCCACGCCACGCAAAAACCGGATAACCGGCGTGCGCCAACGCCGCAGCCACTTCGTTTTGCGTGGAATAAATATTGCACGCCGCCCATCGCACCTGTGCGCCCAATTCCACCAGTGTCTCAACCAGAACGGCAGTTTGCGCGTTGATATGAGTGCATCCCACAATCTTGGCGTTTTTCAGTGGCTATGCAAACAGAGTATTAGAATTAAATCAAATGTAAGATTAATAATAAAAAAAAAAAAGATCTTTCCATTATTATGAAAGAGTAGAGAGAGACACCTTGTCGTCCGCTGCGCGTTTTCGCAGCGCCATGATTCCCGGCATTTCCTGCTCGGCGATCTCGATCTCCCTGCGACCGAAAGCATGCTGATTGATGTTGCGCACACAGAAATCCGTGAAGCCCTTCTCCGTCTTCTGGATCTTCTCGCGTGGCGAGACGTCATCTTCGTCAGATGAGCTTCCTGTATAAGAGGCTAAGGTAGCGCAAAATGCCGTAAAACATTGATTATTAGTATCACATCAAAGTGCAAGTGCAAAATATCCTAATGAAGCAGCTAATGCGATTGCCTGTGTTATTTGAGATTACAAATGTTGCTAATTCTAAGCACAAAATAAAACTACAAATATAGTACTATGGAATAATAGTATGGAATCTAAGAACGGTCTTTATAGTCCGATTTTATACTTAAGATCGTTTTAAGTATGATCTTGGGTCGTCTTAAGATCCCTTGAGTATAAGAACGGACTATGAATATCGGCCTAACACTTTGAATGTTTCAATGCTCGTGATAATTGCAATAGAAATATAAATTAAAGTTAAGAATTTAGTTACAAGAATAAAAACAATAGTTAGTTACAAGAATAAGAACAAGAGAAACTTTGTTCTTCTTTCAAAAAGCGAAATACACACGAAAAGCATTATCGTGTAACTATCACGAACACGCTCGTACCAGAACTGTAACTATCGGTGCTGCTGGCCGACAAGGAGCGGCTCCGATAACGGCTGGACTTCTTTAGCGCTCCAGATTTCGGATCCTAGAAATTGAAAAATACAGTTAATACAAATCCTCACTGTAAATGTGTGCCTCTTTTCTAAAAGGGCCCGCAATATATCGAGATAAACTACAAACTGAAGAGTGAAAGCTGTAGCTTGTTGCAACTAAATGTGTTCGCAGATCAATATATGCATAGACGATTTATATTTATGTCAAAAGAATTTTTTTATGTATTACTATATCATACGCGATGTAAATCTTTTCACATTTCTTGAATATGAAATTACATTTCAGAGGAGAGTATGAAAAAGATCCTGATGATATATAAAAAATTTTAGTTTTATTTATGAATATATATAATCGTCTCATTATATTAGTCTGTATTATCTAATTGATAAGCAAGAATGATAAATTCTGACCAGCACGTATGACATTTATATGGCGAAAGGAAGTAAATGTATAAAGCCATATATAAAGCCAAGTCTTGAGGAAGAATAGCAAGGATGGCGTTCTATAGATGTTTGGTACAAGTTTACTTTGCATGTTTTATACACATATATACTCTTACTTACTAATTTTGTTCTCGCGCCGTGAAAGGCATTATTTGATGCCTCTAGGCTCTGAAATCACAACAACCACCATATCATGATTCAGATGCATCAAGTGTACGCAATACAGTCCGTAGTTTGGTACAAAACTCCCAAAGATTGTACAGATTATGCACAAAATATGTATAAAAATTTTTCGTCAATTCTCAATTTTTTGACATCTCGTTTTTGCATCTAACATAATTATCTTGCAGTAAATAACACTTTTGAAAAATTAATTTCATGTATAAATCAGAATAAAACAATTAAAATAATTATTAATATTAAGATAGAGATATTATAATATAAAATGTTCTTTAAATAAAATTAATTAAAAATTATACTTGCTTGTAAAGCTATTTTTTCTTGTTTTTTTTTTTTTATAATTTTGTCATTCAATCAGCTGGAGTACTCAATTTAAGCACAATTAAGAGAACTGTTTTAGGAAATATAGATTCCATTGTGTTGTGCTTTTGAGATATTTTTTTTACATTCAATACAATTCACGTAGTGCTAATTGTGCCACGCCTAAATGGTGTGTCTAGGCTTATGAGCGATGCATGAGTGATTGGTACCGAACCTACGGACTACTGTGTGAATAATGCTCTATATGTAAAATAATATATAAGCATTGTTAATGCCAAGTCATAGGCACTATGTGTGTGTAAATGCATGCATCACTCGTTCAAGTTGCTATTGTTATTTCAATTAATATATTAATAATAACAGCTTGTTATAAATATGTGCCTAAAAGATATATTTGCATAAAAAAGAGAATATAAGATATAATTTGTATACAATAAAAAAATTGAGTAAAATATGTTAAACAATCTTGATGCTGTTCTTCTTGTAGATTAAGCAAACTTCTGTCAGATTTCTGATTGTTTATTTGCATCTGATAAAGTAAACAATGTCTAGTTATTATCTCAATCAATTTACTTAATAAATAATAAATAATAAAAAAGAATAAAAAATATAAAGCTTGAACAATTTTTTTTAATCTAATCAGCTGCAAACAGGAGTCCCAGTATCCTCATGGTACACAAGTAGACATTTAAGTAGCTTTTTCAACCAACGCCCATTCATCAATGAACATATCAATTAATACAATGTGTCCAATTACGTAACAATCATATGTGGTCACAAGACTTCGATGGGTTGGGCAAGACGTGATGCACAAAAGAAATACAGGTGAGGAACTGATAAAGAGACTGACAGAGTAAGAGGAAGGGGGAAGAAGAGAAAGAAAAAGATAGAGGGAAACCAATATAAATAAACAAACAAACATTTAATTTTCTCATTTTTCCGAAACGAACAATGATTCGACGTGATCGGGGAGACAGTTGACGACAATATTTCGCGGGTCTCGGGCTCACGAAAAACTCCATCGTAAGAACGGCGGCAAATACGACAGTTATGGCATACAGCTGTTAGATTAGCACGAACGTCGTCCAGAACGTGCGAGACGATCCAACGTTTTATGTCACATTAAAGCCTGACTCGATTTACCTTCATGCTGGAGGCCGGATCGGTGACCGGGCCATCGGCAAGCGTGTTTCTCGTCTCTTTCCCAGACGACGTGCTGTTCACACCATCCCCGCTGTCGGCCATTTTTCGAATGCACGTCTGCGAGACTCGCCGATCGACCGCTAGGCGTCGCTCCGCGCGCACGGATCAGGCTCGTAGCTACGTTCTGCGTTTCCCTCCATGCTATTCTCAGTATGAGATCGATATACATGTAAAATTCCACGCACCAAATGCATCAATTAATAGTATATTTCTTATTATATTTATTTATATTTCTTATTATATTTATTTATTTCGATCTTAATCTAAATAAATAAAGATCGAAATAAATAAATAATATTTATTTATTTTAATCTAAATAAATAAATAAATAAATCTTGGAAAGAAGGAACGATATACGAAAAATGCAAATAACAAGCGAATTTATTATTAACAAATATATATTTGCATAACAAAACATCTATTTCTTCAAAAAGATTTTCCATGTAAGCTAAAATTTGAGTTACCAGTATATTTAAACCAAAAGATGATTGATTAAGATGAAAAAAAACGCAGAATCTATTCATCTAAAATCTCAGAATAATTTCGCTTCTCCATTTCACATCACACGCCCTTCCTACCCCGCTGAAAGTATCCGGACCTGACAGCGTACTACTAACCGTGCGAAAAACATCGATGTCCGCCGATGCGTGTGCCCACCCAGCAAGATGGCTCCTGTACGGGGCGACACTCGGTGTTTAACGTGAAGTTATTTACACACCTGGGATCTCGCGCTGCCCCCCCGGGAGACGTGCCAGCCGTCGTGTCGATGAGTCGCGGTGCCGCGTGAGCGTGGAGGAAGCGCCGTTTCACGGGGTGACGGATCCGCGCGTCAACGTAACGTCACGTCACGTCACGTCGCCCAACGTCAACGCCGCGCCGCGCCGAGCCGAGCGGAGCCGAGAACGGACGGGGACACTGCTCGCCGAGAAGGAGGTGTACCCGGATCCCACTCGCCGGATCACCCACACGGCCGAACGACACGGCCCGGATTCCGGTGACGGTGGATCGAGTCAGCGCCCCCTTTCCCCCCCAGAGAGGAGACAGCCCACCGTGCGCTTCCCTTCACTCAGGTAACCCATCCATCGTGTTTCACCCCCTCGTGTCCTGTACGGCACGAACGGCAGCAACGGCGACGATGAGAAATCCCGCGTGCTCTCGTGCTGTCTTTCCCCTCGTCTCCGAGACAGAGCCCGGTATCGTCGAGACCTGAGCGCGGTTGTGTACGATACATATCGATCTAAACCCGCGGCTGTCACTCGGACACGTCGCGTGCACCGACGAAGATTTTACGTTCGTTTTTTTTCTTTCAAATATGCACATTCTCGTTTTCGGAAGTATAAGAAGGTGCAGGAACCAACAAATGTGATATTTCGATCGTTTTTAATTTCTATTTTCTTCTCTATAATAGACGGTCTTATATACTTGTCTCGTGCGTAAAATCTAGATTTAAATAATTAAATTATAATCAAAAGAAGCTTATAATCGAAGAATATAATCGCGGCAATTAACTGCTGGATTGGGGTTGCATTTCTTTTTCGGCGTCGCCGCTTTCGTTAAATCTATCCTTCTCAATCGCACTTTTCTTCCTCCAATTTTTGCTCTCTCCTATTTCTTTCCAATGCATGTGAATAATATAAAAGAAACGGTACGCTAATTTTTTATTTCGAACTTTGCGGAAGCATAGAAAGGAGCAGACTTGTTGGGTCCGTTCGCTTTAATTGCACCTTCTACACTTTATTTATTTTCTCTCGCTCTTTCCAAAGATTAAAGCACATATATCCATCTCGTTTTAAACTTACCGAAAGTGTAGAAAAGTATAGTCACGACGAGGTGACCGGGTATACCATGCAGGGACGATTCCGCCCCTGCAGAAGAAATCCGAGTTTCTTGCGATATAAAACACAAGTAAAGCTGATATAAAACAAGCTAGACGTATCCCGTATCTGAACTGAAATATATATTGCAAGATTTACGATCGCTGTTTAAGGGGATGGTGGAAATAACGCTCTAACCATAATTTAACGCTCCGATCATAATTTATTTCTTATTATCGATTTCAAGTGGATTGAATTATTCGGGAGACTTATGCTCTGACCTTCTTACAATTCTGTCCTTTGTTGATGCTTATTGATGCAATTAGCATGAGGCAGAGCTATTGTGAATATCTCTTTCAGCGTAATGCATGATTCATAGTTATATTTTAAGAGACACATGTCGCGCTGTAAATCTATGATACTATATACTAGGCAAAAATATAGTACAGACCATATAAATTATAATTTATAAATCAATAATGTTTTCAATTTATGTATTTTTCTCTGCAATTTTCTTTTTTTTTTTTTTCAGATACACAGTGCCATTCCAAAGAACCATTGCTCACAGCTGTGCTAAACTATAATTGCTACGCATATTGATAGATAATATTTAAGGATCTTGAAAAGCTTTGTGTTATTTATATTCAATAACTTATATAAAAATTGCATCTCTATCCCATAAGAACTTTATTATACTAGAGTAGAGATATTTGCACGAATGAGAATTTTGAAGAGGATCAATTGGATATTTGTACATAAGTCTAATATTCATCGATGCGAGCAAGCAAATTGTGATTAAAATCATCCAGAGATGTTACCAAAGGGAGGTTGAACTAATTTTGTACCGCACAAAGAGTACTAGATTTGAAGTAAAATGACCAAAGGTGTGATGACAAATTTGTACTAGTTGCAAATTTTTTTGGTGACATGCCATTCACTATGTCTTGAGCAAAATTCGTGAAGGAGGGAAAATTTATTTTGGCAATTGCTGTAAGCGAATCATTGAGTACCAAACATGGCGAGAAAGAGTGACAATGCTAAAAGCATTAACATCGCGGTGGTCGGACTGTCTGGCACAGAAAAGGACAAGGGACAAGTCGGCGTCGGCAAGTCGTGCCTGTGCAATCGCTTCATGCGTTCCATGAGCGATGACTACAATGTAGAACATATTTCGGTATTATCGCAGGTAATTGAAGCAATTCTACACAGAGTTTCTTGGTTGTCAATCGATGAGACATTTTAATGAGAACATCAAATACAATTTTATTGCAGTCTGACTTCAGCGGGCGTGTGGTGAACAACGATCATTTCCTGTATTGGGGCGAAGTGATGAAACTGGCGGAGGACGGAACGGAGTTTCAGTTTCAAGTCATCGAGCACACGGAATTTATAGACGACGCGTCGTTTCAGCCGTTCAAAGGCGGTAAAATGGAGCCGTACGCGAAGAGATGCGCGGCCACGAAGATCACGAGTGCGGAGAAACTCATGTATATCTGCAAGAATCAGCTGGGTATAGAGAAAGAGTACGAGCAGAAGGTCCTGCCCGACGGTAAGCTGAATATCGACGGATTTCTATGCGTGTTCGACGTGAGTCTCGTACCAAATCGGGCGATAGAGAAGCAAGTCGAGATTGTGGCGAATATCTTGAATAATCTGATGAAAACGAAGAAACCAGTCGTGCTGGTGACGACTAAGAATGACGACGCGAACGAGCAGTTCGTCAAGGAAGCCGAGAAGCTGATAATGCGAAAGGAGTATAAAGGATCGATTTTGATCATCGAGACATCGGCGCACGAGAACATCAATGTAGATATGGCCTTTATGATCTTGGCGCAATTGATCGACAAGACGAAGATGCGCAGCAAACTAATACCGTTTGCCGAAGCAGCCAGGGCCCGGAAGGAATTGTTAGACGCATCGACGGAATCGTTGCAGCGATTGATCCGAATACATGTGACCGACTATCGCGCCCTGTGGTCGCAGGCCTCGAAGAAACTCGCGCAATTCAAGGAGTTCACCACTTTCGTAGAATTGTTCGGTATCGAAGCGACGCAGAGACTATTCAGAAGGCATATTAAGAAATTGAAGGATGAACAGATAGCGAAGAAGATACAGGGCTACTTGGACATGTTGCCGGATATACTTCACGAGATTTGTCCGGATATATCGAATTTAATTAACGAGTAAGTTCTTCGCGCGAATCACGCCTCATAAATCGCTTGGATTAATGGAAACGATACTTTGCAGGGAATGGTCGGCGGTGCAACAATATATAAAGGCGCATCCTGATTTTGATCAGTACTTCTACGAATGTCCCGAGGACATACCGTGGATCGATTGTGACTTTGGAGAAAACAACGGCACAAAAATTCCTTACGACGTGCTGGAGACCCCCGAGGCGGGGACCGTATTTAAGAATCACATAAATGCCTTGCAACAAGAGCAACGGCGACTAGAGTAAGTATTCCGATGCAGAACCGAGTCGTGAATCATTTTAAAAAATAAATATTGCAGAAAAGAGCGAGTTTACACATATATTTTTTACATAGAACTGATATAGCTAATTGTAGTAAATCTGTATTATTCCATTCGATATTCTAGAAGGTAATATTCATATGCAATTCACTAATGCTTTGCTTTATTCTGGGTGGTGTTTCTTTGTGCAGACTTCCAAAAAGGTAATTTATGCTTATTTTTTTTACTTGCTTTTTTGTCTATAATATAGAACATCAGCATTGAATTAGAAATAATAATATTTGTTTTACAATGTTTGTGCCGTGCTAACATTTGCATAATAATATGTGCTTAATAAAATCAGTTGAGGTATTTGTTGGCGCCTAATAAGTTGATAATTTACTTACGATGCATGAATTATAATTATGAAACAGTTTGATAAAAGATCTAATAAAATATTTTTAAGATTGCATTAATATTGCAATAATTAGAATAAAAATGACTAATTTTATATGTAATGCAAACTTTCAGAATAACGAAATGTTATTAACAATAACTAGATATTATAGTCATTTAAAATTGTGTCTTTATTCAATTATTATTTTGCAATATAGAACATTGTTTGAACAGACTTCTTTTTCACATAAATTATAATTAATTTCTGTTAGATGGAAGAAACAATTTAAGCAATTATTGGAAGAAACTGGCTATGTTACACCTGGAAAACATTTATCTGAGGTTCGAGTTTTATTTATGGGCAGAGAATGCTTTGAAGAGCTTTCTCATCACGATTGTCAAGAAATTTATGATCAGCATCAAAAGGAAATTATTGAAAAGGCAAAACACAATTTTCAGGTATTTCTTTGTACATAATAATTACATTAATGTGCTTTTAATTTATAAAGAATACATGCAATGAGTATTTTGGGATGTATTACAGGAATTATTGTTGGAGCACGCAGATTTATTTTATCATTTCAAGAGTATAGCTCCATCTGGAACTATTACGCAAGACGATATAAAGGAAATTACGGACGCTTTATTGGACGATTTTAGGTATGTAGTATCATACTGAATATACATTATATCCAAAGTAAAAGCTTTAAATTTCTCAAATACGATATTTTATAGAGAAAACAATGTCATAAATATATTTATAATATAACTTTTATCTTTCCAGATATAAAGCGCTAGATAGATTAGATCAAGATCGAAAGCTAATGTTATTTCAACATTTGGGATTTGTGCATTGTCCCATAAGGGAGCACTGCCCAGCTTATCCAAATTGTATGGACGCGCTGATAGAAAGGATACTTGGAACAAAAGCGCACAGGTAAGAAGTCAATATCATGTCAATGGAGAGAATTGTACAATGTATGGAATTATTTCGTAACGCAAATCTGAAAACCGTTCTAACAGACCTTCCTCATGGAATCACAGTAGTCAGTGGCAGTTAACATCGGATAACAATCAATTAAATTTAGTCATACTCGGGAGTAACGGACTGAGTGAGGAGTTTGCTCGTGAAATAAGGGCACAAACGGAAGATGACGAAGTAGAAATAGATTGTCAATTGTACACTCTCGGATATCGCATTATAGACGGTGATGTGGGACTGCCGCATAACTCTTTCACTACATCCGATTTCATGCCACATGGTAAATATTTCTTTAAGTGTCAATTTATGCTTGATGCGAGTGAAGTTTCCTAGATATAACGATATATCTTTCTTGTGTGTGTTCTAGGATCTTTTTGTATCTATTCGAATGAGGATTCGTTTGAATACATTCGATCCTCTTTAGAGAAAACTCTGTTGTCGAATCTAGAGCAAGAGGATAGGCTACCATTTCAAGGATTGCCCATTGTAATAATGTTTGTGCCAGAAGCCATTATCGATGAAATGGAAGCCATAAAGCTCAGAGAAGAGGGACAGAATCTCGCTGACAGGTATATTCATTATAACAATTATAATCAAATTGAAATCTGTGCACATGATATTCTTATCAATTTGGCATGTGCAGTTTGCAGTGTCCCTTTATCGATGTCTGTATAGACGAGCTGGAACAAGAAAAGCACAAAAGATTTCCCACTTCGTTGGTGAAGGATGCTTTGCAGCAACTTATACAATCCATAAATCACAGAGCTGGTTTTTTAAACATATATCAGAGCGTTATCGAATGTTTGGAGCCTGATATCAGGTAAATTAACAATCATCGTTTATCTAATCAGCGCTTACCTTTTGTGATTAATTTGTAGTCGCATATCTTATTTTGCATCTTATTTCAGGATAATAATGTGTATGTTCTGTGGTGATCCTTATTCAGTCGAGAATGTTCTCGGTCCTTTACTGAATCATCAATGCTGCTTTCTCAGTGGAGATAGATCTATAGTTTTGGAAACGTTTCTGGGAGAATGCAAACGTCGAGTCGAAGTCATTATCTCGAGTTTTCATGGAGCCAATGCATTCAGAGACGAATTAGTGCACGGCTTTATACTCGTTTATTCTACAAAGAGGAAAGCTTCTCTCGCAACTCTAAAGTATATATCAATGACTCGCACCGCATTATTGGCGTATTTTAAAATAGTATTTTATTTTATTTCACAAATACGTTTTCTGCTTTGTTTTATAGTGCCTTTTCCACAAACATACCAAATCTACCGATACAAATAATGGCTGTGACTGATACTGGCGGTGCGAATGCTTTCTTCAGTAACGATTTAAGTCATCTACTTATCACGGAGGGAAACGCTATCGCAGATAAATTGGAGGCGCATTTTATGACATCTGCATCCAGCTGCCAACAAAAAAGTAAGAAATTCGAAACTTTATTTCAACATATCTCTGGCAAATTCAATTTCTTAATTATTTCATATTTTGCAGCCGCATTTTACACGCCCTTTTTCAAAGTGGTGTGGGAAAAGAAACCGGAGATCGAGCAGGCGTTTAACATGGAGGAGCCGGGGAATTTGAATGATAGCGGAGAAGGCACTTTAGAGTATTCGGCTTTACATCCCATGCCGCCACCGCGACACGAAAGCTATCATCTTCAAACGCCGGATGACGGGTAACTATTCTAGAAGCAGCTTTCTAGTGAATAGAACGAATTGATCTATTTAATGTCTGTGGATTTCTTTGTGACTCAAAAGTCTAATGTGAAGCAGTATGTCTGTAACTTTTAGAAGCGGCTCCGAGTCATACGAGCAGTTGACGCCTGACGGTGATCTGGGTGACACTGGTTTGACCGAACAATTCGCCGATCATAGAGCCACGCCGAGCGACGATAGTGACATTTACAGCCAGGTCGACTTCTATCGAGAGGAGAGGGAGAGAGATCTAATGAAGAATGAAGATATCACGAACAAGCTATCTGGTTAGTAACTGGAAATTAATTCATCGCACAAAGTCGCGAAGTGCGACTTTTTCAAATTTGTTCCAAGTTGTAAGTTTTTTCTTTTTTTCTTCAGGTTGGGTGAAGGATACGTTTATGCATCAAGATGGAGTTACCAACAGTTATCCACATAGAGCCTTCACGACAGGTCGACGATATATTTCCCAGATTAAACCGCGACCAAAGGGAAATAGTCAGACGTTGAAACAGCCCGGGAAAATCAATTTGAAAGATTTTTCCAATGTAACAGATGCGATAGCCAGGATGACGATTGGCGAGAAAGACGAGCACGGCCCGAAACTGACGATGGGTCATGCTCCTCTTGCCACACCAGAACTGGTAGATCTCGGCTCCGAATATGCGCAGGTGAAAGATGTCGTTCCGAGTATGTATTCTGCCTACGATGGCGATTATATGTACGCCCTGGTGCAGGATTCTATCGGCAACAACAAATCTAAATTGCGCCACCGACGTGAAAAGGGACAGCCATGTAAGATCTCTTTTCTTCTTATGCTAATGTGTTTTTTGGGAATAGAGATAAAGATATGTTAAGTTTGTATATAAATATTATTTACATTAATTATTTGCAAACATAGCATATAGCGATTCTGATTCGGAATGGAGTTCTTTGGAAAGGCAAAGGGCGACTGACGTCTTGAATAAAACGAGTAAGAAGTCTTTGTCGCATAAAAGAATACGCAAAAAACGCACTGCAATACCGGTTGCTACACCCAAAGTACCGTCATTGGCAAGTATGGGAAGTGGGGACGGTATAGTCGGCTTGAATTACAATATGAAAGACGATAAGAACTGGCGCGTCGATCCAGTGGATAGAGGTAACATCTTTTTTCATTTTCTTTTTTTTTCTTTCTTTTTTAGCAAATAACTACATAGATTTCGATATATATAAGTGATCATACATTTAGCGATATCTCCATCTTTTCAGTATCTAGCGAAACGCCCGATACTTCCGAATCGAGTGATCCGGAGCACACTTCGAGATCCAGATCAAAACAATATAAATATCCTGCTATTAGTTTGCGGAAGAGATTCTCTGGAAATTCATTGCAACAACAATATTTGCAACATCCGTTTAACGTAAAACATATGCCACAGGAGATGTTCAGCGCCTCCTGTAAGTAACTAGATTTTAGTTTAATAAGAATATTTATATAAAAGCAACAAATATAAGAAATTTTCCTGAATTGTTATAATATATAATTATAATACAATTTCTTAATTATATATAACAATGTAATATATAATATGCGATGTAAAAGGAGAAAATTTAATTCAACAATTTAGCAATATTTTGCATATGCATGTGTGATTAAAGACTGTGATTTCGAATTAATCTGAGGCTTTTTGATTGAAATAACAATTTTGGTTTTTTTGTTTTTCAAACATAACATATATCGGAAAGTTTTCCATTAAGTTGCAGTGTTCAATTCTTTTGCTAAGTTGCATGAAACTGTTATTTTAGCCAAGCAAAGGGGTGAAAATACGTTTGGCATTCCAGATGATGAATCAAGTCTGGATGTCTCCTCACCACGGGAAATTAATTCCCCTAGTGTAAGTATTTAACATGGATAATACAAATGAATGTTGAGGAATACATGTATAATCATATCTTGTTTTGTTTATTCTTCAGTTCGGTATATTGAACAAGTCAAAAGACGGCGACAAGTTAGCCAGGAAGAAAGACAAGCAAAAGGCAAAAGAGGACGAAAAATTGGAGAAGAGAAGACAGAAGGAAGAGAAGCTCAAAAAGCATGCCGAAAAGGAAAAAGAGAGGGAGAAAAAGAAACAGGAAAAGATAAAACAAACCAAAGGTCCAGGTGGGACACCGATTTCGGGTCAATCGCAGCAACCTTTAATCGAGGATTTTGCGCAGAGCGAAACGAATCGGATACCTTTATTTCTGGAGAAGTGCGTGCGATTTATCGAGGACGAGGGATTGGATTCGGAAGGGATATATAGGGTGCCCGGTAATCGCGCACATGTAGAACTGCTTTTTCAAAAGTTTGAAGAAGGTATATCATTCGTTAAAACTTGTTACAATGTTCAGAGAGTGTCGCTTTCTTCTCTAGTATAAAATTTATCTTTTTCTCATAAATCTTGTATGATGGATAATACAAATCAATGTTTTTCATTTTTTCACATATAGATGGTAATGTCGATATACATTCTTTGGATATTCCTGTAAATGCTGTCGCTACAGCCTTAAAAGATTTCTTCTCCAAAAGGCTACCACCACTCATCGACAAAGAACGTATGAGTGAACTTGAAGATATATCAGGTAAGTTAACATGAAACGAAATCAGCAATTGTAGAAATTTGAATAGAATCTTGTGATTCGAATTCTTTTTTAAAGTCTTTAGGTATCTATTTTATATCGTTAAATGTTAATTATAGTAAAATTAATAAAAAGCAAAATATTTTAAAGAATGTATGCCTATTTATATCAGGTGCACGAGGTATTAGCAAACCTATGTCAGCTACTTGCATGAACATGGAAGGTTAGTATTCTCATTTCATAGATCATAGATAATTGAGCAAAATATTTTTCAAATTCTTAAGATTAACATAAACCCCAAAATTTGATGACGATTGCAGATCGAAGCGGCAGATTGTTAGCCCTGCGTCTGATGCTCAAGAAATTAAATCCAGTTAATTTCGATGTTCTCAAGTTTATCTTCCAACATTTTGTGAAGTAAGTAACGTGAAAATAATAAATATTCTTTATAAATTTATTCTGACCATACATCATCCTTCCTTTTTTCTTTTACTTTAATCTAAATTTATGCAACTTTAGGGTTGCAGAGAACTGTAAACTCAACAGTATGGATAGTAAGAACCTGGCGATTTGCTGGTGGCCTACGTTACTACCGATCGAATTTAACGACCTCGGCAGATTCGAAGCTATGAGGCCGTATCTGGAAGATGTGGTCCAAACGATGATCGATCAGTATCCTTTCCTGTTCTGTGGCGAGGATGCCGTTGTGATGGTGTAGTGATCAAACACGCTGCTACGCAGTGCATAGTGCAACGGGACTGCAGTTTTTCTCGCGGACAACGGCGATAGAAGCGACACATCCGTCTCGTGGTATAAGTCGATTTCATTTGTTTATACGTTATCGGCAATTACGATAATAGACGTAAATGATTGGTCTCAATATATAATTTGTATCGATATTAAACTTCGCTTTAGCACACACTTGTAATATTACACAAGGTCCTACATAAGGCGCATGGACGATCAAACAAAGTCTATTTATGTTTAGTCATTTCGTACTTGTTCATTTTCGGAATGTGTGACACGCAAGATCCTCCTTTGCGGAATGATCACTCGATGGTCCTAAGACAGTTGTTCGCGTGCGTGGATCAGGTAATAATGCAAGAGTAATAAGAGTCAATCCATGTGTGTCATAACAGTATGCATGTATCATGTTGGATGTATCCAGAGCGATGTATTTATTGATATTGTATTAGGGATATAAGATTCTCGATATTTGATAATAACGATTAGCTTTATATAGTTAAAAAGGTAAGATCAATGTTGCTTTTTTTTCTCTTATTTGCCTTTCTCTCTTTTAGTTCTCTCTTTCTTCGTATTTTCTTGTTCACATTGCAAAGAATGAAAATACCATAAAGTGTTGATAACACTAACATATAGCCTCGTTAAAGAGGTTGTTATTAATATTTAAAGGAGGATGTATCCAGAGCTCATTTACGAAAAACACGAAACGTTAACGAGATTTGTATATCATCGAATAATATCTATATACATATATATATATATCTCATATAGCAACGATATCAAAAAAAGTTTTTAATATGATTCCTTTTTGGCACAAATGCACAAATCGCCTGTCGAGCGTATTTATTACTTTTGCATCTTTATCGATGTAGATTATCATATAGGAATTTTTGAATAATCTTTATTGTGGCAGGACCGAACAAACTTAAACGATGATACAATCCATATATCTCCTCTATTCCGTCTAAAAAGATAAAAATGAGAAAGACGCAAAAAGCGTGTTACATGTAATTGCACAATATGTCTTGATAAATAGCGATAATGCAAAGAAAAACACGGATAGAGATATAAGAGAAAATATTTCGGCAGAATTTCGCGCACACAATATATACACATATAAAAATCGAATCGAAATAACTATTAAGAAATATTTAGAATTACAAACGTGAAATACTAAGGTTTCTTAAAGCGAATATGTATATAGAACTAACGATTTAAGATACGAAATTCGTAATGAAAAACATTAAATTTTCATAAAAATTCTTTTTCGAGGGTGAAAGCAATCCATTTCTTACTAGAGCTGATATTTCACATCGTTTGCATTTTCGCAAAAACGCAGAAAGTATTCATTAACGCATAAAGTTCAGAATAGACAAGTTCAATTAAAGAAAGAAATGTACTGAAAGAAAAAAAATCCAACTTTATATTTAATCAGAAACGTACGTTTAGATTCGTCGATTTATTTGTCCTATTCGTTTTAAGTTCGCGCTTGAATTTGTACAAATATGATGGATTTAGTGGGACATTTTTTTTATAGGTGTGCCATAATTCGATGTTAAAAATTGTAATGACAGATATAATGCCTTTTGGCGGCTCAACATTCGAAAGTAAGCGCGTTGTTTAAGCACCAACAAGCGAGTATTCATGATAAATCGGCGAGAAAGAGATACTTAATATCGCTTCTCTGAATGTTGGAGCCACTATGATTAAGAGAAAAGAAGAAGCGAAATAATACACTTTTGTAATCCGCAAGATTAACCGCAAGCATTCCCTTAAGGAACGTTGATGTTACTTGGTCTCGCGAGAGACGCGTTTTAATCGAAGCGAGTCCCAGTAAATTTCAATAGAGCAGGATCTCGAAAGAGAGAGATTTTTTCGATTCAAGGACTCTTTTAAGAAAATGCGTATCTCGCGAACACGTTACTTTGTATTTGTAAGGAAATATTATAACGATATTTCTACGATCGTCGTGAGCGCGCGTGTGACGAGAAAGAGAGAGAAAGAGAGAGAAAACTGATCGTACATTCCCATTTAGTCGTAAAACAGATTTTATACATTCGTACGTACATAATTGTATAATGTTCTTAATAGAAAGAGGATAAGATGTGCGATGTTTTACGGGATCTCGAGCGATCGAAAAATCGCGTAATAACGATGTGACGTCGGCGATGCTGAGGTAGCGTGTGTCGAAGCACTTGGGAGCGCTCGTTCGGAAGAGATATTCCGATACTCTTGCTATCTTTGTCTATTTTATATATAAATCAAATCGAGATAATTGAGTTAAAGCACTTATAAAGTTTCCATGAAGTTTTTCTCGTGTATAAGATCACGTTTGTTATACATTGAGAATTGCTTGCACCAATTTTTTCATTTTCTTTCTTTCATCTTTGAATGTTGCATATATCAGCATTAATGATTAGCTGGATTGTCTCTGTCTATTTGTCTACGATATTACTAGAGCTTATAGAGAACAATATAGATAAACAATATAGATTTGCTAATCGAAATTGGTGCAACCTCAATTTCTTTAGTCACAAATTTCTTGGGTGTATTTCGTGTAATATACTCTTTTCAACAGTTTACAATCATTTTTCATATAACAATCGTTTGTTCAAGGACTTAGCGCGAATTATACCTTGCGACCAATTGAAAGATTCAATGCAATAGTGTCGTTTTTACATACACAAGCTATTTCTTTTTAATAACGAAAAATAAAACAGAGTCTCAAAATTGGAAGAGTTAAATTAAAGTAGTACTTATCTACTTTTATCAATTCAAACTTACTTTTAACTTTCTCAAACTGTTTTTAAAAAGCGAACAAAAGGCAATGATTATCGCGCTATATAATAAATATTAAAATGATTTATATTATAATATATAATAGAAATTTATATTATTTATATATATATATTATATATATATTATTTATAAAAATTATCTTTTTTTATAAGTTGTCAAAGAAACATGGTTTGAACTGCTATTACACCGGATCTTTCTTCATCGTATACACAATGTAACGGGTAAGCAATAGCAAAGAAACGAATTTAGCGAGTAAGTACTCAAGAAAGTACTCGATGACGAGCATGTATAGGGAGTGCGAGATAACGATTATCAAGTTCTGTAACGAGATTCGCCCTTCGCGCAACAGCATCATCATCATCATCTTTGTCGTCGCCATCGTCACCATCACGTCCATATATCGTCCTCGGGCACGTATCCATCGAGCGTCTTCTCTCTCGCGAAGAGCCTAAGAAGGAAGAAGATCACTTTTCTACGATACGTCCGTTAAGGTTTCCGCTTGTCTTTTCTCACTGTTTCTGAGGACGGTCCGACGCCGCGGCCGACCTCTCCCCCCTCCCGTTGAATACAAAAATTCTTACACATTATCGCAGCCTGTGATAAGAATATAGGCGAATGGACCTTATTTCTTTTTTATTTATAGCATCGGCTGATGTACGAATGTATTATAGTTGTACAGTTGCATCGGGATGATGTATATTATAAGCTCCGCTTTCCTTGCGTTTCGCGCGTCACATTTCTCTTCTTTTTTTTACTATCTCTCTCTTCCTTTATCATTCATCATTATCGTTCTTCGCGAGCTTCGTCCAACTTCGAAAGTCCGTCATTTCCATAATCTCGGTATACTATGCGAGCATCTCTGAAATATCGGGCGATGAATCGTGAAGAAATGTAGGAAAAGTATTTTTAAATTATTAATTGATATTATAGCGATAAAAATTTTCGTTTAACTGATAAAGTATGAAGTAGGATCTCAATTTTAGCTGTTTGCGGGTCGAAATATTTATGCTGATCTGTATCAGCACGTCCACACACTAATTTAGCCGCATTTTGCGATATTTTATACTTTGACGTTTCCATAACGAAATACAATAAAAAATACAAACATATTTATACAGTATTATATATTTTTGTGTATATTTTCTTTTATAATAATATATATTATTTTATATTTAAGTTATTTGATGCACCTGTAGATTTGCGAAAATCCTTTTCTGGCCTTATCTCTCTTCTGCGAAAACTACATTTCTTCATGGGAATGTAAATTAAACTGACAGTGTGAATGTGTTTGAAGTATGAATTGAGAATAATACTCAGATTTGATAACGATTAAATATTAAGTATTAATGATCCAATGCAAGCTAATGAAACTCGTCAATGAGAAAAAGATTGTTAGATATATATCTCGCAACATCATTTTCCTAGTCAATCTCTTTTTCTAATCAGTCGGAAAAAGGATTGAAATTTGATCGAAAGTTTTGTAAGAATCTTTGATATAAATGTGAATTGAAGTATTTTATACGTAATATTTAATTTAATTGTGTATAAGATATAAGTGTATTGAAAATAACTAACGAATACGACCAAGGATATATAAAATTGCCAATTTCTACTTTACTAAAATCTGTAAATATCTTCAAGTTTTGCGACTGAAGGTTTCGAATTTCGAGTCTGTTCTTTCTATCTGCACTCCTTCCATTACTTTTCCGCAATATCTCTCCTTCTTTTTCTCTTTAATGAATATATATATTTATTTCGTTTCGAATGCAAGTAGACTACAAAATATAGTGCAGATGAAAAGAACAGATTTACATACACGCAGTCTCTTGGAGTTCAGAATCTAATGATTATCGCCGATTTTAATTCCAAATGTCTATATCTCATAAAATAAAAGAAGAATATCAGTGTTGCTCGCAAAGTATCGGAGCTAATACATCTGAATCGCCGGCTACATTGAAGTTCACCGATCCCTCAATTTGGAATTTCTAAAACGTGTCCTCCTTCGCCCTCGCCCTCGCCCTCCCCCCCTTCCCTCCGCCCCTCCTACCTCATCTTCACAAATGCGTTTCCATCTTTCCTAAATTACGCGTTTATAAATGTCGTCATTTATATACATGTAACGATTTTTGTAAATAATCAATAT